ATGAAGCAGGGCGCGAGGGCCAGTGGTGGGGGGACGACCAATCGCGACACAACGTTATAAGTACATCTCTACATTCTTCAAATTTGAACTGTAACTCTTTGAGTTAAAGTTTAGATTTGTCTGGAGCTTTTTTGGTCGTGTGGATAATGATAGTAAGCCAAAGATAGTAGGTATATATGATAGTGGCTGTGCGGGGTAAGTAGGTACGGTATATCTCAGGTAGAGGATTATAGGAGGGTTCCAAAATGTTTTCCCCAACTTATTTGCCAGCGAAAGGAAAAGTAGTGAGAGTGTTAACGTTAACTTGGTCGGTTAGACAACTTTCTGTTAAGTTATTACTTTATAAGTCCATTGAGCTAGTTTGTTAATCATTTAAGGGATGTACGGCGCTTGATTTTCGGTATGGATTAACGTGGGCCAGATTTAGTTTGGGAAAATGGATTATGTTTTGGCCCATATCGGGCACATTCTGATTCAGAATTAGAGAGGTTTAGATAGTCGCTAATCTTAGTAGATTAATTTGGAATTATTGAACTGAGTATTGAAGATTCAAAAGAGGTGAACGATATGAATTTCAGAAACTGTATATTACAGGGTATTTATCTAAAATCTGTACTATAAACATCTTCAAAAAATTGTAAACGTAGCATGTACCGCACGTCAAAATGAAAATGCTTTATTAAATAAGTATACTAGGTTTACATTATTTTGGTAACATTCCTTTTAAGTATGGAAATCCTGTATAAGCAAGTTACCTCTCTTCCATAGTTATTTATAACATCCTTAAGTAGTGACTTACTCTACAATTTACAACGATAATATTAATATAAGTCGTTTTCATTTAATTATAATATTCAATGTCATCTGGCAAATGGGAGTGATAGTACCGCGAAACTATCAAATGCAGACATGTCATGTCAGACATATTATTGAGGACACTCCTCCTCCATGCCAATCTTGGTTATGCAGGTATCTATGTCAGTTGGGTATAAAATGGAGAGCTATTGATTCAAACCAATGCATATTTATTCATTCAATTTTATTGCACAACACTTCAGGTATAAAAGGACTATAAAACTGAGACCCAAAAGCTCCTACAGGAACCAAATTAAGAAGCCCAGGAAGTTAGCCTGTCTCACTTAAGAATAATGTAGCGTTTTACTGCTGAAAGAATTTTGAAAATCGCTTCTGTAGTTCCAGACATTACTTCGCACAAACAGACTCACAAATTTTACCTTTTTAATAGATAAGTAATATTGGTATGATATAGGTTACAAGTGCATTAACCACCGGCCAGGATCTCTGAGTATTACCCTCAATCAGGTGAGCAGAGCGATGGCAGGCTGCCACGTGCAGACGCGTCCGAGGGTTGCCAATTAATTATTTAATATGATTTTACACGCAGCCGCAAAAGACTTGTCATTCAAAACTACTTTCGATGTTGTATTTCGTATTTCCATTTTAGCAAATGATCGTCAAAAACCTCATCAATTGATGGACAAAAACCTCATCCAAAGATTTTCACAAAGACCGGTCCTGTGCTGCCCTTGTCCAGATACTTCCCGCGACCCTCTCCAGATCGGTTTCTATGTTTTTCTATGAAATACCATCCATGGTAGCGACTTCGTCTGAAGATTTTTCATGTAAATACAGAGAGCAATGCGTCGCTGCGATGTCGTCTGCTAAATAGAGGGTAACTACTTAGTCTACGAACTGTAGGTTGGTCTCCTTGTTAATAGTAATGAACACGATTTCGTAGCAAAAATGTATACTTAGTCTGTATCTATGTAACATAATGTACTTTGCTCGGATGTACAAAGGAATGTCCATTTGGCACAAAAGCACGAGCACTATCAAGACATTTGCAAAGGCTAGAAAATGTGCCAAAAAGGTCACGCTCAGTTTGAGATGCTTATCTATCTATGACGTCATTGCGGGTCTTTACAACGATGTCCCTATTTTCAGATCTTTCCAACTCTTTCATTAATAGCACGAGTGAGGGACAACCTCAGATCACAGAAGGGGGATATGATGGGACAACCATGCATCGGGTATTTGAGAGCGGTCATGACGATTCCAGTTAGAGAAAATAATACTTTTGTTAGTTGAGTAATCCTACAGTATTAGGTATAAGGAAAAAGCAATTTTCTAATGAAACTCCGGAAAAATGTATGAGTATCTTTTCGAACAGGTACCTACCTAGCGGTGCAAATACGTCTCTTGACTCTGGCGTTGACTCCAAAATTATTATCAATCATGCACGGAATCTATTTGTCCAAAAAAAGAAAACTTAATTATTTTCCTACATTTTAGTGCACTTGTTTTTGTTGAGGTATCAGAAGGAGCAGTAGAAGAAAATTACATTGTGTTAATAATTTATCATTAAAAATATTAAATACCAACCCTAAACCGGTCGAAGGCCGATCAAGCTGTGACGGCATCGAGGGCCCTCGCAAAGAATGGATATAAATTAGTGCTCCTCGTTATAAATGGACCGAGAGGCGACTTACTGAGTTCGACTTACGGACAGACGGACACTGGTAGCTGCTTGGATATTAAGATGCAGGATGTAATGTCTGAGTATAGTGATTAATTAACAAAACAATACTAAAGGTTCGAAAGAAACTCGCTTCTAGCGGTGTATTGTGAGTGCGATGCAACGATGCATTGTACATTTTGATACAAATTATCACTGTAAATGAAACAAAAGGTGAATTTAATTTGAGCCTGGAAAGAACCTAAAGGAAATGTCGAAAAACATGGTTATTTGGAGTATTTCACGAATGCTGATTTGTCGAGTTTAGGTCTGAATGCATTGAGAATGCATTGAGCCCAGTCTTTCTTTAGATTTCCTATTGTAAGCTAATTTTCAGAAAATATAAACATCTGTATATTCCTCATTTTTCTGATCATGAATTCCTTTCCAAATTCCGAAAGTAGGCATTTTTCCCTTTAATTCCCGTTTCCCCGTTTTTAACTCGACACTGGCAAGAAGCATAGCATAGCCATAAAAAAAATCAGAAACAGTTGGTACTAAGCAAACCACTGCATCTCACTACTATCTGTGCTACTATTAACAAAAATACATTTTGTTCCGTAAAGAAGTAGTTATGAAGAAGTCTGATATGGGAACAATAACATTGTTTATCAGAACCTTCCTGAAAAGAGTCCTAAATAATAACAAATTACGCCCCGCCCCAACCAACCTGGCACAAAACAAAAAAAAACGAAACATAAAACAAAAGAGTTCTAACTTCGAAAGCATTTTTGATGATTACTTTTTTAATTTCCACCGCCACCGCTGGGCGGCGCAGCCATTACGGCGGGGCCGATTCTGTCACTGCGCATAACGGCTGGTAATAATATTCCGCCCACCGATTCTGCCATTCGAAGATACGCATCGGTGGCGGCTCGACTACGCCCACGGCACAACAAATGGGCCGCGGCCGGTGCGACTGCATGCCACTGTTGGGTGCTGATTATTGAATCGCGAGAAATTGTGGAAAAATACTTATTGTTAAATGCGAGATACACAGTGTGTCTGCGTAGGTGCGAGAAATTCTCGTTAAGTCAACGCACTGTATTTTTTGTACTCAGTCTTACATTAGGGACGTACATATTTGTATCCTAGAACAATATAGGTACTACAACCATTTCATAATATCTATTATGAAATTACGTGTAAAGATCGGTCTACGCTACTATTCACCGATGTAACTTGGGAACATGGGTTCTTTCCTGTTGAAATTAAAAGCAGAATGAGGATATAAGGCCCTCGTTACTTTTTTTCAGGAGATAATATTTTAATACTTATGTCCCACTGTTGGGCATACATGTCCTCACTCTTAGTATATCGACATCATTAACAAAGTAAACCAGAATCAGCATTTATAAAATAGGTCAGCTATACTCTTTTCAGTACCATAATACTGAAAGTAGGTACGAGTAATTTCGACCGATTCAGCAATAATCTCCAATGAAATTTTATTGCAAACATGTCGATATAGCAAAAATGCAAAACACAATATGAACTGGCAAATAAAGGGACGCTAGCGAAGCTAGCAGTAATCGCATGACGATTACGGCTAATGAAAAAACAATTGAAGCTTCATTCTGTCAACATTAATTTCTACGTAAATGTTAATAAAGGTGTGATAGGCAATATAAGGGTGGGGCTAGCCTTGATATTTATTTAGTGAAGAAGAAGAGTCGTAATTTTTTGATAGCATGATATAAAATTGTACTTACCTACTGCGTCAGAACGTTGTTACTAACGTTTATATGAGTAAAACTTATCTGCAATGTAACAAATAGTACTTATTGACTGCACATTATACTTTACCTTTAACCGCTATTTTGGTGCAACCCACCCTAAGTAGGTAGAGGCACATTACTGTTACAAAATAGCTCTTGTTACCTTACCTATAATATTTAGCCCATGTTTGTTGTCTGTAAAAAGGGGAATAAAAGCATTTTAATGAATTTTTCTAGTCCCACTCAACTTTAGTGTTAGTTAGCTCAGAATAATAATGTATTAATTTCAAAATCATTTTTAAACATCTACTGTAAGCAGGTGTAATAGTGTGGAAAACCAATAATGGTGCCGTTATGCTGTTTATTTTCTCACTATTCGCGTTGACTCAAAATTGCTTAATTATAGATAATATCTAATATTAACCTCCTATTTATAACTTGTACCGGAATGAAATTTAATACGTAATTCGTTCGTTCGTTTCGTTTCGTTGGCTCACTGCAAAAACTACGGTGAACCAACTCTACATTAAGTAGATCTTAATATGATCAGTCAAATGATGTAATTTGTAATGAGAATATCAAAACATTTACATTCTAATCCAAACATTGTCTAACAGAACATTCAAACGTACGACTCTGTCTGAGAAAATTGAATGTACGAATCCAAAACATTGGTTTCAACGTAAACTTTTCACATTGTCTGCCTTTAAAATGGTGTAACATCGTTCCCACAGTCCAGATGCAAAATGGCGGTCATAGAGAATCATCAGTTGTTCCTGACCTTATTGGTCTTTTCTATATCTTTTGTTTATGGCCTAAAACCAGAGACAATCCTCCGACACAACGAAATGTGCAAGAAGTTCGCCGTCGATCCATATTTTGAGACAGAAATGGTTGTGGGCAAACCCTGGCGGATCTACTATACGTGGAACATGAAGCTGGAGAATAAGTGTCTGGATATGGTCTTCAAGAATGCTACTCCTAGGGTATTTATACATTTATTGTGATTAGTGTCGGGAGAATTCATCGTTCTTTTGTTTTATTCTGTAACCGCTGCCTTCTCTATGTATAAGCCTCGCACACCCGAAAGCTCACCTCTCTGTTACTTACAGCTGATATCTTCTCTGCTCTCCTCCCCGCTTTGGTTTGGAAATAACCAGCCAGATTCACCGGACGTCTCTCGTTTCCTCTCTTCTCCGCTTTGGTTGAAACCGGGACTATTTTTGAGTGCCATCTTAATACTATGGAAGCACATACTCATTTGTAACCGACAATTAACCTTATAAGTTCAAATACAGAAGACTACTAAATCTTCTTCTTTCCCAGATCATCCAGCGCATCTGGAACGACATGTACGAGTACTTGGAACAGCAACCCGCTTGGGACGCCGCGACCCTGCACGCCACCATGGGGCGTGCGCGTCATGAGATTCTGATGTTTGCGGAGCAGGGCCCTGCTGGGAGCTTCACGGCTGTGCCTAATGTTATACGGGATGGCAGTAAGTAGTACGGAATAAAGACGAAAATGGGGCGAACGACGAAAAGACGAAAACAAAGACGATTCCATAGGGCGAGCGCGACATGAGATCCTGATGTTTGCAGAACAGGGAACAGCTGGCCGCTTCACATTAAAATTTGTGCCTAATGTCATACGAGATGGCAGTAAGTAGTAAATAAATAACAAAGGATAAAATGGAGTGAACTCGTTAAACCGTTGAACGCGACTATGGACTGCACGTGTCACAAGATCCTCATGTTTGCAGAACAGGGCCTTGAGCTGGGAACTTTGTGGCTGTGCCTAATGTCATACAGGATGGGAGTAAAACGGTAAAACCGTGGTAAATTGACGATCTAACGAAGGTCTCGGGAAGCACCTGGATACGGGCAAAGCAAGACTGGTCGTTGTAGAAATCTTTGGGGAAGGTCTTTGCTTTGTTTAGCTATGGAAACTATTGATGTCCTTTAGCTTTGAAACGAGAGTACGAAATAAAGATGAAATTGAGTTCACGCCTAGAATTCGACCATGGGGTGAGCGTGCCAGGACTCTTGATACTATTTAGTTCATGCCTTAGACTCTATCACGGAGCGCAATAAATTGATTAGCGCCTTGGCAAAATTATGTTCTTCTTCCAATTTCCAATTCCAATCCTTATATGAAGTACAAAGATGTTGTAGGTAAAGCCTTTGCGTATTACCTATCTAAGTTACTGTTAAGTATGAGAGGCGAGAGGGGCACGAGTAAAACTATAGACGGCTGTCAACGCACTGGCGTTTATTCATAGTAAACCGCGGGCGCAGCCGCGCAACTAACCTAGGTACATACATGNATATTCAAAACTGCCACGCGGTCTCGTGCTAGATGGGCGTCTTAAAGGCCACCTTCTATCAACGGGAGCGCGTGGTAAGTAACTTGCTTCTGAATGTATGTAACTTCCTACTTTTTTTATATTTTTTTATATTTTTAAAACGGCAGACAGTGGTGACTGAGTTTGTTGCGGCGCTTCTTCTCAGCACTTACCAAATGTTTGTCTCGAAGCGCTGGTAGGGCAAAAAAAGAATGAGACATGTATAGGCTCCTTAGGAGCATTTGACGATTTGCAAGAACTAATTTAATTAGTCTAAACAAATAAAGATAATTTTGATTTTGATTTTGATTTTCACTAAAAGTCTGACAGAAATTATTGTGGTTAAGATTTTCTTTGAACGAATTAAAATCTTCCTTCAAGTATAAGGTTGCCCCAAATTCCTCAAATCCGGCGATTTATTCATAATACTTCATTTCGCGGGATCGCAGCGCTGGTTCAGGATTACCCTCTAATCCTGCTACAAGGTTCCCCCAATATGGCGGTATCCTGAGGGTTGAAGAAATTATACATAAGGACAACGATTATATTTTATATTGTGATCCGAAAAGAGTATTAGGTTGAACGGCAATCTTTCGGAAGAAGATTATAATTTTATTTCGATTTATCTATTTATAACAAGTACGAGTAAGTTCTTTGTGTACAATTGGTAGTAATCTTGTAGATTGTAAGCTTTGATATTTAAAACCTAGATTTTTTACCAACAAAAAGTTCTTCCGCTTTGACCGCTGGTTGCTTGGCAGGGTTATGCCCGTTTTCACCATCAATCCCTAATTTTTAAGTGACCCCTATGGTAACACATATCAGGAAATTTGTTGTCATAGGATTCTCTTACTAATTAGGGATTGATGGTGAAATCGGGCATCAATCTATCAAAGTTATCTTTTGACAAGAATATAACCAAAACATACCTCACTACGTCCTCAATTTAATATGTCCATGTTAGAACACCCTAAATAAGTCTATCGGTATCACAAAATCACCCCAAACACGAAAAATTGCAAGCCACATTTACCAATCACGGAACCGAAACCAAAACTCGAAAGAAAGAATAGTGAAAAAATACTAAAACACAGCTCGTGCTACGTTTAAAGGCAGTTTATCAAACCAGAGTAGGGATGTTATGGATATGTTTCGGTTATGGATACGGTTACGGATGTAGGAATAATATTGTACCGGTTTCGGTCACTTAAAAATTAGGGATTGATGGTGAAAACGGGCATCAAATATCAATCTATCAAATTAGTTATCTTTAGACAAGAATACAACCAAAACATACCTCACTACGTCCTCAATTTAATAAGTCCAAGTTAGAACCTTCTAAATAAGTCTGTCGGTATCACAAAATCACTCCAAACACGAAAAATTGCAAGCCACATTTACCAATCACGGAACCGAAACCAAAGCTCGAAGGAAACAATAGTGAAAAAATACTAAAACACAGCTCGTGCTACGTTTAAAGGCAGTTTATCAAACCAGAGTAGGGATGTTATGGATAATTTGTAGTTTCGGTTATGGATACGGTTACGTATATAGGAATAATATTATACCGGTTTCGGTTACGCTTACGGATATTTTTTTATTTCGGATATCCGAAAGTTTCGGTTACGGTTACGGATATCTGTGCTTTGCGATAGTTGTAAGCAATTTGCGATAGTAGTGCTAAAATGCAATTTGCGATAGTTGTCCAACACAGTTCATTCATGGCCGCACTTTACATCGAATAAAAAGTAATAAAAAAATAAAAATTGATACTAGATGGCATTATAAAGGTAAAATAATTTAAACTGCCTACATCCGAAACTTTTGAATCGGTTACGGTTACGATTACGGATATTTTTTTACTTCGGATATCCGAAAGTTTTGGTTACCGTTACGGATATCCATAACATCCCTGAACCAGAGCTTCGGACGTTTTTTGTTTAGTTCCGACGGTTCACAGCCAGATAGCGAAATGAAACTGAATTTTAACCATAACTTTGTGGTATTTCGCGTGTTTCGTGTGTTTTTAGGGGTATTTTTATTTAGTTCTTAGCGTTTGTGGGGTAAGGTAATTGGACTGCCGTGTGACATAGAAAACAAATAATATTACACACTTTCTTCTTATCATATTAATCTTTTTCTTATTAAACTAATACAAGTTGATTTTAGCGAAATTGTGAAAATATCATTATGAAAATTATTATATTTTTTATTCTTAAATCAAATCAAAAATATTTATTTAATTTTAACCAGTATTTTGGCACTAAGGAACGTCAGAAATAATACCTAAATAAAAAAAAAGGTAGCCCTTGGGACACTTCACATGTCTCCTTATGTTTTCCAGAGCTTTGAGACAAACAAACTTCGAAGCAAGTGCTAAGAAGAAATGCCGGAATAATCTCAAGTTAAATTCAAATCACTCAAAATGTAGACTTGCATAGAAAAGTTATCATCATCATCATCATTAACAGCCATAGGTCGTCCACTGCTGAACATTGGTAGCGGCCTGCATCCAGCGCCTTTATGAAGTCGTCGGTCCACCTTGTGGGTGGTACCGGAAAAAAATATATCTAAAAAGCAAAAGTTAAATGACTCACTCATCACGAAATCTCAGAAACTACAAGCGCTAGGAGTCTCAAATTTTGCATGGGGGTTCCTTTTAGAACGTAGGTGCTCACTAAGACAGGATTTTGCAAAATTCAACCCCTAAGGGAATAAAAGGGGTCTACGCGTACGAGGTCGCGGGCGGCCGCTAGTATCTAATAAAAGTATATGGTATTCCATCTAGTTTTAGTACATACTATCCTGCATCATCCCATACCTTACACACCATCACATTATTTCGACATCTGGCCAAAGTTACGGTTTCCAAGTGATACCTTGACGGTGTCTCGTAAATATACATGATGTATTCCCAACAGACCCGACCTGGGTAAGCGATCGAATAGGAATAGGCAATATGTGTTGTAATGGTTAGGAAACGTATGGAGATATTAGTTTATTGCTTGTCACGTTTAGTTTAGAACCATTTTCTTGATTAGGATGTTGACATGAATTACTTGACACAACTGTCACGGTTAACCTGTAAAGCCCAGAACAGACGGTGAAACGCAACTGCAACTGCTAGTTACTTTTGAGTTGCATCTAAGTTTCTGCCATACCGTCCGTTGAGAGACCACACATGACGCGACCAGTTTGAAACTTTCAGTTTCAGTTTCATTCTTCTGAATCATCACAAAGTTGCAGTTTCGTTGCAGTTGCGTTTCACCGTCTGTTCTGGGCCTAAAGGTAGTTGTCACCAACTCATAAAGATTTCGTAGTCCTTTGTCATGAATACGCACATTCAATTGATATCTATAAGATTACAAAGGTGTTAAAAATCGAGCTTTACAGAAAATTAAAAACTAATTAATTTTAATATTGTTTAATTAGTTCATGTTATCAACAACCCAATTTCATCAATCAACACTTGAATCAACACTCGACAGTAATATTATTTATTATTCGTATCTTAGTTATGCATTCTGTTCTGTGGTAGTCTAAAATTGAATACTGATACTCGTATTCAGGTTCCCGGTTTCTGTATTCAGATGTTTAGCTTGGGCGTGTTCACAACAACTAATGGTTATATTGCAGATTTTAGTCAACCAATTAAAAGCCTAAAATATGAATTTGAAAGCTGTAATATAAAAAAAATAATTTTGAGCTTTTCACTGTAGAAAAAACTGTTAAAATCGTAATAATTAAAATAAAAATACCAGTTCAAAATGTCGCAATAACTAAACGCAACAAAAGGTTCACAGTTCATGAAATAAACGAGTTTTAAAGCGTAAGCTTTATTAAACTGATTCAACTGAAACTGGAGTTACAGCCGAACCGACGTGGAAATGGTTGTGGTTATTTAATTTGTTATGAACTTGTTTGTTTTAATTTCAGCACAGTTTTTGTGCTGAAAATCAATACTTAATGTGTTTATTTAAAGGTGAAACAATATGGCACAGCTTTTGTCCGTAGCTTCCCCCGCGTGAAATTAGTTTCAGCCAAATGACTCCACGGCTGGACAGAAGTGACTGTTTAAGACGATGACAGTTTAATTTTCCGCCGGCACAAACTTGATCTACATTGGTTGGGTTTTTATTGGCGGTCTAGCTGTA